GTTATGGCTCAATAGTTAGACACTCAACACCATTTGGTTTGAAGTTGGAATACTACCTCTCGCGTACATAACTATTCGATACAATTGATTAATACTTCTAACTAACAGAGTGAGTCATTTTTTAATTAGATCTGAAGATAAGCAGGACTTGAGTTCACATAGTCAACTAATTTCCTTTACATATAAAAAATTATTTACAGTATGAAGTACTAGATTCGAGTCCTGCATGCGGAATCGTGGATGGGCACTGCTAGGAGTCCCATACTAGGACGAAACGGCTGTCCAGTGTTTCCAGGTTTCAATGGTGGTCCAACATTGACCGGTTCATGATTTCAACAAAAAGCAAAACCATCATTCAATATTTCGTACCACACCTAAAAATAACTAGTTAATTGTTTCCCAATATAAATTTAGCTTTCGAAAATAAATTTCAATAGTTGAAATCATGAGTCAATTGAAGCCAGAACACCATGGAAAACCTGGAAGCACTGGACGGCCGTTTCGTCCTAGTATGGGACTCCTAGTATTGCACATCCACGGTCCAGCGAGGTTCGAACACGGGATCTATAAGTTTCGCACGTGAGCGCTTAACCATTAGACCACTGAGCCGGCATCCAACGGTGTTAATGTCTAACTTCAACCAATCCACGAAGTTGCGCCACCGTATACCATTGTCTTCAGTGAGCTGATATCTCACAACAGACCTGGTTGAACTCCACTGGTAACGGCTTCTCACTATAACTCCAGGAAATGCCTCCTGAAGTCATTCACTACTTGGTAATTTTATAAGCTTTTTTTCAAGGTGAAATAATCAACTGTGATTTCCAGTGTGAGGTAGATATCATGGGTGAAGCCAGATTTTGATTAATTAGTTTTGGAGGCATCTATCTAGAAGACGTTAGGAACTAGGTAATTACTTGACATGGCATCACATCACCCCGCTACCTCTTCAAAGAAAACTCTTTTGAAGTTGCCCATGAAATCTTTTACCTGGGCGTCGGACTGTAGATGATAAGATAGAGAATGTAAATGAATAATTTCATGCACCTTGGAGAACTGCTTGAACGAGTGCGATATAAATTGAGAGCCATTCTCAGTCACCAAAGTCTCTGTAACCATGTAACATCTAGAAAAATTATATTAATTCCTTATTGTTTCTTTAACTGTCCAACTTGATATAAAGCATATCTCCAGCCATTTTGTAAATGGGTCTGTGATAAACGAATACATTTGTCCTTGTATTGGACCAAAAAATCTGCATGAAGTCTTCCCCAATGTTTGTCAGATTTGGGCCACAGTTGTGGTAGGATTTCTAGCAGCTTAAAGTCAAGAGCTGTTATTTCATTTTTCTTTGATAGTGTGATCCACTGTAGGCCAGTAAGAGTAACTTTTAGTAAAAGACTTCACCTTATTGATCCCTAGTTTACCAGAGTGAAATTACGTGCAGACTTATTGATGAAAAGTTTACGGCATAAAAATCCAATTTTCGAACATGATCCGAAAATCAACTACCATAAACAAGTCACGATGACGAAAATATCGCAGAAATTTTCCTTCGAAGTAACAGTTCGGTTATTAGGTAGAAAGATAACCCCTAATTTACCTTAAGGTGTATCCCTTTAATGTGGCTTCTATAATGGTTTCGAAGGTAATTGACAGTCCACAAACTGGAGCAACCAGTACTCGATCAACATGTTTCAGTTTCTGTTGGTTTCTTCTAGTTTCGAAAGGGAGCCAGTTAATCTTTATAATACGTTCGCTTTTCTTGACGTCGTATCCTAAGCGTGGTTGCCTATCGTTGTAATCGATTAACTGTATACACAATAACTCCTTCCCTTGACCTAAATAGTGCCAGTAATGAATTATGACTAGTAAATAGAGCGAATCCATAACTAAGATTGTACTATTTGTTCTCATAAATGACATCATAAATAGCAAACCTAGGAGACCTTTCCACCAACTAGAAGTACATTCTAAACTATTCAAAATTCGTTGTGGATTAGGTTTATTACAGTGGTGAATACACTGTTAGATACAGAATTCCCTTCATTGTTAGTTCCTCTATAGTGACTGCAATTTTTTTTCACCGACAATATCTAACTTTCCACCAGAAGCACTGTAGGCTGATTGCTTCGTTGAAGAGACTGGAGGTATACCGACACTGCCCCCAAGTTTTTCTGTTAACAAGTGTAATATCCGAGGTTGTGTCAGGTTTCGGACGGACACAGTATCCACACCTCATGGACAAGCATTGAAAGAGGTGGGAACATTCACGTACCTCGGCAGCATCATCGATGAACAAAGAGGTTCAGATGCAGATGCAAAGGCAAGGGTTGGAAAAAAAGGGCAGCATTACTACAATTGAACAATATATGGAACTCAAAATTAGAATCTTCAATATGAACGTCAAGACAGTTCTACTGAACGGAGCTGAAACTACCACGACCATCATCAAAAAAGTATAAGTAATTATAAACAATTTCCTATGCAAGATACTCAATACTCGTTAGCCGGATACTATCATCAGCAACCTACTATGACAGAGAACAAAATAATTTCCAGCTGAAGAGATCGGGAAAAGACTGTTGAGGTGGATAGGACACAACATTATGGAAGTAAGTACAGTGTCTATAACTTTGATCAGCTTACTTACGAAACAGGCAAGTATTTATATATTATATATCCGATTAATATGTCAACGTTTTTATCATGTGGAGCGGAATAACAGTTTAGCCTGAAAATATGGACAAACCATTTAGGTTCAGAATATTAAGGTATAATATACAGTGGATTTAATGGAGTACCATATACAAAGAAGTAAAGAAAAAAAGTGGTCAATACAAATACTGAGAGGAACGAATATTTTTTGTGTAGTCAATATAAAATAAAGAATGATCGTGACACAATGCAAAGGATAACAATAATAACAACAATCGAAAATTCACCTAAGGTTTGTTTTTTTTTTCTTTACACTGTCTTATTTACAATGTTGAACCCATGTCTACACTGCATTATACGCATTATATATTGAAATATTAGTTACAATAAGTAATCATGTCTAAAGAATGTAGACACCAATAATATGTGTAAAATATTGGCATAAATGTCTGATATTCTGTCTAGTACTTCGATCAGTTAAAATGTCAGGGAGTTTTTCGCTACACTTGTTCAACTGGTATGGGATGGTAGATAGTACTTATAGTAATTTTCCATATTTTCCCATTATTGATATTCCTCATTTTAATTATCAGAAAGCTTAATCTAAATGTAGTTGTTTATTTAAAGGCACTACTACTATTGAGACATCTGTTCAGGTAGCTTATCCACATAAATAAAAATTAATGATCAACAAATTATTAATCATGTGGATAAGCTATACAGATATGTTTCCCATACATTTCAATCATATATATTTTACCAATACCTATGTTACAAATTGTTTATTTTCTAAAATCAATGAAAACAAGCTTGGTGAAATTTTCCAACCGTACAGCGTTATAAAAGCGCTCTAATGATTTATACTACTAACTAATGCAAGTAGTTTAAAAGAATTCGTATAAATTAGGTGCTTATTATTATTTGCAATTATTTAGCCAGGACTGTGACGTAAACGTTTAGAAAATAAACATTCGTATATATTTATGATTTCAATTAAATTCGGCAATCTCCACGATTTCATACTGAAAATTACAATGTACTCATTATTGGCTAGTTTTGAAAGATGATTCTCAGAGATCTAGTGCGAAGCCGTGACCAGTAGAGTTTAACCGTGACAAATATCTTAGTTAAAGATATATTTCATAGTTAAAAAAACTGTTACTGGATAAACATAAAAGAACAGGTAATTACTTTATTACTCTTACCAAACCATAGTGAAACTTATCTGCAAACTGGGAAAAATTCTATCAACACACTATTTCCTATAATAGTTTAGCATTTCTCATTAATGAGCTTTTGAAATAAATGACAAGAGATCCAGTGAGGTACCGAATGTAAACAGGCAGAAGAGACAAATCGAAGAATACTCAGTGACGATATGGGCTATGCTGTTCAGATGGTGACTGTTGTTCGATCCAGTTGCTAGAAATACGAACGGTGATTTTGAATGGATCACTTATTTATGAAACAAATCCTCCACAAAAGGAACCCTACTAAATAATTATCAGAAGAAAAAATACTGGCTAATTGGCTGAGTTCGTGTTAGGAAGAAAAAATTGTTATTTCCATGGGTACAGAATATTTCAATAAGATAGCACGATGTAGCAGAGAATAAATGGGTAATCAAGGATGAAAAGGTAAGTCACAAACCAAGTATATATAATTGAACAATTATGTTTTCATATTATTAGTTCGTGAGTATACCTTCTTCGGGAGTTTCATACTACTGGTTTAAAGAGCTGTCCAATACCCCCTTATTTTCAATGATACATGTGAATGAGATCAATTTACGTCAAATACCGCCCATATATAACGTGGAATAGATAGAATGTGGTTAGTAATGGAATTCATGACGCCAGTTTCATTTCACTTGGGACTAATTAACTGAATATACCAACATAACAGAGTTGATGTTTACTTCGCAGGTACATCCGACGCGTCTTGGATTTCACTACTAGTTACATTCGATCTACTCGTTCTAAACTTATAATGGCTAAATTGAAGCAATCCCATCGGGATGCACATGTGGCAACTAAGACTGATCAAACCAGACATTCCAAACCATTACAAATTGAATTATGTATATATCACTCTATATTTTAGTGAGGGCGGGAGGGAGTGTAATCAACAAACTATCGTCGACATTATTATGCTTTGAAAAAAATAAGAACAATAACAATGCCAAAAACTCCACCTGGAGTCCCTCGACGGTTACTATTGGTCCTGGACCTGTATAAACAAGGGTAAGGTTAGACATAGGTGTCAGGATCCCTACCATCCTGTAAAAAAGAAATTTTCTAGGAAATGCTAATAATAATAATAATAACGAACACTAAACTTACCACATATTCAAATACCAATGTTAACGACTTCTCAGTATGAATAATATCATGTAAAGTGACTATATTTGCATGGCGTAGATTACGCAATAAGCTCACTTCACGTATAGCTGTACATGGTGCACCTTCATCATGTTCTAGACGTATTTCTTTTAAAGCAACTAACGTTTCTGTTAGAAGACTTTTACCTTTGTATACAGTTGCATATGTACCCTGATAGGAGGAGAATAAACAAAAAAGAGAGAAGTATTAACAAATAGTAATAACAATAATGATAATAATAGTAACAAGGATAAACTCTATTGTTTATAATAAAAATAAACAAATAATCAATTTAAACCAATCCATTTCTGATTAATTTGATCCTATGTTTACGAATTCTGTCTATATGAAATGCTTAAAACAAAAGGGAGAGATGACAATAGAAACACGCTTGAATGTCAAACCACGATGAAAAGTTACGTAACACCACAGAAGGTAAAAATGAACAACAGTAAGTGCTAATAAAATTCAATTAAGTACTGAATGAAAAAAAATGTGGTAAACGAAATGAATTTGTCATTATAACTTGATTATGAAACAAGATGCTGAAATAAACATCCTTTTTTAAGCGTATGAAGAAGAAAAAATTCGAGTGTTATTGATTGCTGAATCGAAACAGTTATCGATTGGATCTTTGAAGTAAGTATATCATTAAGGAATGATTTCGGTAATGGGGAATATCACTTAAGAAACCAATGAGCAATAGATAGTTGTTTTGTATGAGTTTGAGGCTTTTCTTCAGCACTGTCCATGTACTCACGACATATGACATAGAATTGAGTGTCTTCAAATCTTGCAGTGTGTGAGATGAACTTTAATGCTATAATCCATGACGTACGGATTTTTACTCCTTGATACTTGGTGACATCCATCCGACACTGGACAATAATGAGTCAAAACATTTTACTGGAAATTCTAGAAGCTCACATCAGGAACCGAATAATTTCATTGAAAACTTGATGGTTAGTAATAAGCGTTATTTCATTTTGGTAAACCAAAATTAAAGAACAAACACTGATAGATATGGGAAATTCAATTTTAATCCATTGAATTACACTGCCAATGAGTGTGATGCAATATGAATACATGTGTAGAACAAAAATGGGTCGTTAAGTGGGAAATGTTTGGGTTGAAGACAGAAACACAAGACTTCAGGAAAGCAATATGACTATCGCGAATGAGTTTAAGTTAGAGATATAAACTATCGAATGCTAACTAAGTGGTTCGAAGGTTAACTGATAGTCGATAGGCCTATAAGTTTCGTAATTGACTCTTGATCACGTCATGAATGTACATTGCTGATGGGTCGAATACTAGGATGAAAAAACTGTCCTGGTATCCATAGTTCTTAATGGTCCTCTAGCTACAATCAGTATGTATTATAGAAGTACAAAATAAAAAGAGGTATGAGCATGTGTTACACACATGTACAAACACCTGCCTGATAAATATATTGACAGATGTAAGAATTTCGATACCATTTAAGTGTTAAGAAGGCAAACAAACATGAAATGAATTCTGGCCGTAGACTTCATAGTTCAGTTAAACAATGTATATTCAAGAACTAGTATTTAAAATATTAAAACGATATAACTAACGAACACTTTAACGAGTGGAAAAGCAGTGCCGACTTAGTTCAAATGATAACAACAACGTGTACTAATTATAATAATCATAATAATAAAAATTAACTGAAAATATGTGTAATATCACTTAATAAGATAGAAGATTGAATTCCTTACGCTTTACAATTTAGTCATTAGTCATTATTTAAGAACACTAAGCTATGAAACGTCAGGAATTCAACTTTTCATCTTATTAAGGCATATTAAAAATATATTATCACTCTATTATTATTATTATTATTATTATTATTATTATTATTATTATTATTATTATTATTATTGTTACTGTTATTAAGTGTTTGCCTAGCGGTCAGTTTAATCGAAGTTACCAAGTCAAAACTTAATAATGATACTTAAAAACACATACACACAGAGGAAAAAGAAAATTACAAGATTTTTTCTTATTGAGATCATGAATAGATCAAAGTTAGATCACCATTAAAAACATGGAAGCACTGAACGGCCTTTAAGTTCTAGTATGGGACAGCTGGATGCCGCCTCAGTAGCCTAAACCGAAGGTCCTGGGTTCAAATCCCGCATGCGTGATCGTGAGTGCGCACTGCTGAGGAGTTCCGTACTAGAACGAAACGACCATCCAGTACTTCCAAGTTTTCAATGATGGTCTATTTTTATCTCGAATTTGGATAAGGAAAAGTAGGTTTAAGACTAGTAACTATGAATAATTTAATTAAATTATAAATGTAGAAAAATTATTTCACACAATATCCGGATTCCTTGATAAATTTGAATAAAGAAAATTTACTTTATTTTATATAGTATATATTATTATTATTATTCAGAAAAGAAAATAGATTTTGGCACGACAACAATAATTATTATGATAATAATTAGAAGAAAAAACAGCCAAATAGACACCATAATGTCTTATCAGTTTGATAAACCATAAACAACAATTCGATCTTTATTGTCAGTTAACTAAACCCGTGTGTGTTTTTCTATTCTGAAATTCGCAGTTGAATAGTTAATTGAATTTTTAACAAATTCGTTTATTCACAGATTTAAATCATGAGTCAGTTGAAGCTAGACCACCATTGAAAACCTGTTGTTATTATATTATATTCTGATAATGTTGTGTAACGTGTATTCATTGAGTGTGGACATTTATCTCATACGAGAATTCATTTTTTAATTAATAAACACTAAAAAGGAAAACTGCATGTAAACAGTGACATAATCGTTTCAAAGTCGAACACTGAAGTTGTCTCTTTTTTCTTCATGTTTAATCGTTTGTGGTTAACGAGTCAAAGAGAATGGCTGGTAGAGCATTGAAGAAAAGTAATTGCAGAAGTTAACTATTAGGTTGATATTTTTGAGTTACATCAGTGAAGAATAAGTTATAATAAACACAAAAGACGCCTGATAAAGAGAATAAAGGAGGGGAGACTAAAAACTAACTAAACAACATATGCACATACAGAGAATATAAAAAGGAAAACGTTGTGAAGAAAAAAATAAGGAGAATATAATCAGGATGAATTTTTGTTTCATTAGAAGAGGAATATGATATATGGTGTAGATCGGTTTAGAGTTATGTTCTGACCAATTTCTAAATTATTATCAATCTTTAACTCTTTAACCTGAAACAAAAACAGAAGGCAGAAAAATATAGAGGAAGCTACACTCCCAAAGTTATTTCATATACCTAAGTCAAAGAATACTCAAGTAGGTGGTTTATAAATGACTTTAAAATTATAGAAGTTTCTAGAAAAGATAGTAAGTTGTAATAAATTTGGCAGTTGATAGGTCAGATCGGAGAAAAATATAAGTAAGTTGGTGTTTAGATTGGTCTAAGACGTTTCCGAAAACGCTAAATGGATAAAAATGCTGTTAGGCATTTTCCCCTAGGCTTCTGGATACACAGATACAAACAACTATAAAATATCTTCTAAAAGAATTACAATATAATTATCATTAGTTCATATTCTGCTGTAATACAAAGAAAACGAATCTACACGAAGTCTCTACAATCAAATTATCTAATTCCAGTAAATTTCTCTCTATATCACAAGAGTTTCCACATTAGTATGAACACATGTACAGAAATATATATGGTTAATTGTTATATATATATATATATATATATATATATATATAATCAGTGACAGAACGATTTAAATGTAACAACACAAAACCTAATCAGTATAACTTTCAGGTCAATATACTCATTTGGGTACAAACGACCTTAAGAGAATAAGCTAATTATATCATATTCTACCCCTTTAAATGAATAATTTACAAACTAACATAAAAAATTTTAAATTAGGAGGCTACATTTTTGTTCAATGTTTTAATTAATGTATGAGATTATTTTGTTGCAAATAAATGAAGACAATTTGATTAAATGTTTTATTTGATAACATACATAACTGTATATTTATAGTCCTTTTTATAGTAAACACGATAAAGAAGTCATTCGTAAGGAGGCTCACTGACTCTTATCTAATTGCCTATCATAAAAAGAAAAAAATGTCCGTAACTTTTGTGCGAAGACTTACTTACTTACGCCTGTTACTCCTCTTAAAGGAGCATAGGCCGCTCACCAGCATTCACCATCCAACCCTGACCCGGGCAATCCTTTCCAGTTGGTAATCATCATTTTCATATCTCATTCTATTTCCTAACGTAATGTGTTCTTTGACCTTCCTCTTTTCCGCTTCCCTTCAGGATTCCAAGTTAGGGCTTGCCTCTTCATCAGGAAGCTGGTTCGTTCTCTCCCACAGAAGGCTGTTGCTGACTGTATCCGGCCAATGGATGTTGAGTATCTTGCGTAGACAACTATTTATAAATACTTGTACCTTCTTGATGGTGGTTGTTGTAGTTCTCCAAGTTTCAGCTCCGTTCAGTAGAACTATCTTGACGTTCATATTGAAGATTGTGACTTTGATATTGGTTGAAAGTTGTTTTGAGTTCCATATGTTGTTCAATCGTAGGAATGAGGCCGTTGCTTTGCTAATCCTTGCCTTTACGTCTGCATCTGAACCTCTTTGTTCATCGATGATGCCTCCCAGGTATGTGAAGGATTCTACATCTTCCAGAGTTTCGCCATCAAGTGTGATTGGATTGGTGTTCCCCGTGTTGCATTTGAGTATCCTGCTTTTTCCTTTGTGTATGTTGAGGCTTACTGATGCAGAGGCTGCTGTTACATTAGTTGTCTTCATCTGCATTTGTTCATGTGTATGCGATAGGAGGGCTAGGTCATATGCGAAGTCCAAATCGTCAAATTTATTCTGAGCTGTCCATTGTATTCCGTGTTTTCCCTCAGATGTTGAGGTCCCCATAAGTTGATGTACATTGACGAGTTCCACTCAACTGATTGTTCCACGATGATGCGCAGTGTCGCAGTTTGGTCTGTGTACGACTGATCCTTACGGAATCCAGCCTGTTGATCTCGAAGTTGGGCGTCTACTGCGTCTTCCACCCGGTTCAGCAACACTCCACTGAAGACTTTCCCTGGTATTCACAATAGTATGATGCCTCTGTAGTTTTAACATTTGCTCAGATCTCCTTTCTTTGGTATCTTGATGA